GATATCACAACAAAGTGTTTCCAGGACAACTTGCATACACCCACTAAATGTGTCAATCATCAAAAGGTCAAAGAGATATGCCGTGTGTGACTTAGCCGCTGAATGTGTAACAGACATCACTCAACACTTTATTGAAACAATAAAGTTCACTTAATAGGGCTATGAGTGCATGTCACACATCTGTAGGTTCAAAATCATTATTTTTACAGAAAGAAATAATCCAATCCAGTATGTTTCCATATTAAATGATAATGTCTATAACAGAGTGTGCTCCTGAGGGTTTTTTTATTTTCTTTTACATTTCAGGATGTGAATGATTTTCAGGGTAGCGTAGGATGGATGGGTGTTTATTGGCTAGGCATTTAAAGCCTTTAGTTGTGCATGAGCTCTTGTTCTCAAAGCTAAAATAATTAAAAAAAAAATGTATGCCATTTTTAATGTCATAAATGTGACATGAATGCAGTGGCTATTCACTTTCAAAGGGGGGCGCCGCTAAAAAAAACATCTGAATCATTGGTTCTCAGCCTTGCTGACCTGAAGGCCCTTCATTTCCCAACACAATATTCACAGGCCCCTCATATTGGAAAAGATATTTACTCTGGTATTTCTGATGTAATCATGATAAAGCTGCTTGCTTTCAAACAGCTTCAATAAAACAGTAATTAGGGCAACATTTGTGCTTTGTTGCATTTTAATTTTAAGTCATCTTGTGGTCCCCTTGGAAGTTTGCTCAGGGCCCACTGTAGGGGCAAAGTGAGAACAACTGTTTTAAATAACTACATACTGAATATCCTAAATAAGAGTTTTGTTTCTGAATAATGACTGATGGCTTTCCTTCATGCAGGAGCCTTTAGAAATAAAATGAAGACTCTTGATATTTCAATATTTTAATGCTGACAAAGGTTATATGGATATAAAATTATATGGATATTAAAATAAAGGTAAATTAAAGGTATATCAAACACAATATACACAATATATTAAAGGTTATATGAACACAATGTATTGTTCCCTTTCTCTTAAACACACCACACACCCAATGGATTGCCGTGGTATGTAGGTTTCATTTCTCATAGCAAGTCTCAGTGGTGTTT